CGGCAGCCGGTACAGTAGCCACCAGTTACTTCTACTGTTTACTTTTTTTATCGTGATGGTACGCCAGAAATTTCGGCCATTTCGGCACTTTTCCACTCGAAAATATTCACATTTCTGTCGATCAAGGTCCCAGTCCAGCTCATAAAATTATACGGTAAGTAATTATTTTTCAAATTTCAATTTGTTTCTCAAGTTTTTTGTAATTTTGTTGAAGCCATGAGTAAATACGTTTTATAACCTATAAATTCCCATTTGTTCGTTAAGTTTGCACCTTGCCTTGACCTCTATTAGGTAGGTGGGGCGTTTTTCACCAGTGATTGGAAAAAACGCCCCGCAGTAGTAACGGTATAAAACGCCCCATCAACTATTATAACTTTCATTGACACCTAAATGATAAATAATATTTTCATCTTCAGAATATGGGGAAGAAATATGTCCGCAAGACTACACGGGCTTCATTTAGTTAAGATTCTTTGGCAGAGGCTATGGGAAAAGTTATATCCAGAGAAATGGGTGTCAATGAAGCAAGTAGAAACTCTTTCCAAATCTTCGAGAGAAGATAATCTGATTCCCATGATTTCTCACCAAATTGGTAGAAGAAAAGAATATTTTTTAGAGCTAACGTCTCCTGAAAATCGTGCCAAAAGGCAAGTTTTTTCAGACAATAAGAAAGCCATCGCCGAGAAAAAAGAAATTAAGAAAAAAGCAAAAATATCCAATGATAAAGGCAGTGTCAAATCTATAAAATCTAAATCACGTATTTCAAGTTCTTCAAGCTCCGAAAGTGAACCCATTCTAAGCTCTTATGATGAGATGTCGGATGATACTGAAAACTTTTGTGTCGAGTATAGCGAATACTATTTTACTACAAAGTCAAAAGTTGACTGAATTAAATGTCCTAAGTGTAGTGGTTGGCTACACGAGACTTGCGGGAGTCACTTAACCACATGCAGTGGTGGTGCCAATAAAACACTCAAAAAGGTATATTTTTTTAAGTGGGGCGTATTTAACAACTATAAGGGGGAAAACGCCCAATATAACTCTTTCGGAAAACTATGTTACTGTTTTGTCAAAATGTGTTCAGTATAATGAAATATACCGTTTAGCTAATATGTTTATGGAACTGAAATGAAAGATAAGTTTGTATTTTTGTGAAAATGATTTTTTTTCAAAATGTGGGGCGTATTTCACTGGTTTACCCTACCTATTTTTCACTGTACTATCCGGTATTATCACCTCCAGAAAACTTGGCACACATTTTCGACTCACCCTGTATACTTTTGTCTCTTGTTGTTGCATCTTATTATTCATTGACGTTAATTTTCATGATTCTCATGTGATGCTCACTTCATGCACTTATAATAATTGTATGAATCCTTGTAATTTTTCTCACCCATCGAGGCAAATATGAAAAATGGCTTGCCAACTATTTGCCTTTTGAATTACAATGATATTCGAACATATTCATTTGAAAATATTCTAAGTTTCTTCCTACTTCAATAGTCATTATTTTTATTATTATCCTTATTATTTTACAGGACTGACACACCAACAACCAACAACTTCCGACACAAATATGAATATGATGAAATCATCTCACAAGACCATTTCTGACAAGGACGTATATGAATTAGAAAAAGTTGTTGAAGCTTTAGGTACGTATAGGTCTCAATAAATCCATTCATTCATTTATTCATTCATTCCATAACTAAATAAAACTCAAAATCATCTCCACGACAGTTTACTATGTGAACAATGTCACATCAGGGGAAACATGTTTTCGGACATACATATGTCCATCATCAGCCTATAAAAAATTAGTCCTACAAGAGACAAAAATGAGTGAGAAGTGAACTTCTTACCATACGATCGCTTACATGAAGGTGAAAAAATTATCTACAATTACATTGAAATTGAAGAAAGGTACACATTACATTATGGGAACATTTTTAAGAAGGTAATATTTGTTTCAACAGACACTGACAGGTATGTTGACAGATGTCAATGCAGCACAGAAAACTGACAAGAAACCGACAATGACAGTCGAGGATACCAATCGACAACCACAGATACAGAATGTACAGCCAATAATGGATGAGGAATTGTACTTTATGAAATATATTATGTTGAGGACCAAGGCGGATGAGAAATGTTATTTTTATTTAATTACGGAAATTCAATGCATTAAACAATTTATTAGTATCAAATGGAGTCTGTTCATTAAGGGAAAGAACACCATTATTTTGTAAAGAAGCATTTATTTCACAAATCTCTATTAAGTTCAACAATCTCCCTTTTTGACAGATATGTGATTCTTCCAGATCAGTATCCATATTGAACGAATGGTCAGAATTCAGAGTTATCATTTTGAACATTTGTTATGAATATTTCTGAAGGTATTGTCAAAGTTAAGTTGTTAAAGTAATTCGTGTAAGAATTCATCAACAATTTTAAGAGCTGCATTGAATGATGTAGTGAAATATTTCTTATTCTTTTTTCAGTATTGAATAACTAATCCATCAATGTTTGACACTGAATGATCAGAAATAAATGGAACTGATGGCACTTTTCCTTTGGTAGTTCGAAAAAACATTGATGATGGATAGAAATAGGTCGAAACACATTCGAATCACCTTGTATAATACATGGTTGAATTCAGAATAAAAAAACCTTTCAGAATCTGTGAAAAAATTATCAGAACCGTATTCAAAAAACAAAAGTTGATGATGGTTCTACGGATACGAAACGTTGCATAAAAAATTGGTATAACCACGTTAAACGTCATCAAAAACTGCTATGAAAAAGTATTCTCAGTTTTTCTGTATCTCCAATAATAACGGAGAAAAAAATAAAATAGATATTCCAAAAATTCACTTTTTTCGATATAACTAAAAAACTAAAAATAATTTTAAAAATTTTCGAAGGCTCTTGATATGAGCCTCCGAATGCGCAACTCCCCATTTAACAGACTTCCAATCTCCTACCGTTTTCGAGATCCCCATGCTGTTTAACCTTATCTTGGACAGACTGTATATTGAGCTTCACAAGTATCAACTGAACATGAAATTTTGTGAACACCAGGTTTAGGTAAGAGCGGTACTTCATCTTTATTATTTACTAAGGATCTTGCCATAAGTATCAGCATTATAAAATGGAACGTTTCTGTCATCACTGAAACGGTGAAAAATATTCTTAATATTATATGAGACTTCACCTAAAAAGGTAATTGAAGTTAATCGTGTACGAGGGTTATTCAAGGGTAGCAAACTTTGGTTTGTGTGTTTTTGTAAGTGTCTATTGAAAATTATCTCAATAAAATGTAGTGGATAGCCATTATTTAAACCTATTTGTTCAATTATATTGTGTTCATTATCAAAATCTAATTTGTGTGAAATTGGATGGCAAGACTTGAATGGAATGACTGAGTCAGTGTCTGTTGGCTTACGGTGAATTTAAATGATCATTCTCTATGTTGATGAGCAAGTCTAGGGATGAAAGAGAACTATGTACTGCAATTTCCATGGTGAACTATAACTTCAATGTCTTCATCCTTTATTGGCTGTACATTCTGTATCTGTGGTCGTGGGTTGGTATCCCTGACTGTCATTGTCGGTCTCTCGTCAGTTATCTGTGCCACATTGACATCTGTCAACATATTTGTCAGTGTCTGTTAAGTCATGAGATTTCCGTCCTCCACTACTTGATGATTGCTACTCAAGTGGTCAATATGGAAGTGAATATTAATATTTTCATACATTTTTTCATTGTTATCCGCCTGGCCCTAATGCTATGGGACTGGCTCGTGTTTGACCCACCAAAAACTAATGCAGGGGTCTTGTAAATTGTTTCCCCTTGTTTCACCTTCATGTCAGCGATCGTATTCGCGAGATTCACGAAGTGAGCGACATCTAGGTTACATAATACGAACTTCAAACTGAGGGAAAACAAACTGCTGTCTATGGATGAAGTGCATAGACTACATTGCATACAGCTTGCTGTAGCTGTAGTTGTCAAACTTCTCAATGACATAAAGTATTGGCACTGTTGGTAGTGATGATGGTTGAGTTGGTTAATTTTTTACATTATTAGGTACATCTTTATTGGCTTAGTGAACAGTGAACGGGTGAAGAATTGGAGATAGTTCAAACAATTCGAACTAATTATGACGAGCAAATCAATTGACATATAAAAGAACAGCTACAACATGTTTACAATACCCAGATTGTCCTGCTTTGCAGGAACAAATACAAATCCATTGTTCTACAGAAGTTCCTCTGGACCCCAACTTCAAATTTACTTCATGTGGGGACATTGTGGGGAAGATTTCATCGCCGAAGTTTGTAGACAAAGTGCAAAAATGTGCCTTATGTTGAAGTCTTCTGCCTCACACAAAATCACATGATAAGCACGGAGAACTGCTTCTCCTTCCATTATTGGTCGGCTTTTTCCATCTAAATAGAGCAAAATATCTGCCAAAAGAACATCTACAACCGGCATTATTAGCGTTTTCGATCGAATATTGACAATTAATGTCAAGAAATTTAATAACTTATCACTTTTATCAGTACACAGTACACAAGCTAATGGCACTAATGGGATTGAGTGAGGATTGAGTTTGTTTTCCCCCAGTTTTGACGTGGCTTTGACATGGAACGATGAAAACCGAGCGCCACCTGGTGACATTGATTCCCGCGAATATTAAAAATTCCACTTTACACTCATTTTTGTCTCTTGTAGGACTAATTCCTTATAGGCTGATGATGGAAATGGAGAACATGTTTCCCTTGATGTGACATTGTACACTGTACACATAGTGAACTGCCGTGGAGATGATCTCTCCACTTTGAGAAATGTTGGACTTCTACCAGAGATTGTTTATTTATTCATTTATTTATTGGATTATGCAATAATTCATTCATTTATTTCTTCTGATCACATTGATATTTTACCTTATCCGTTTATTTCAAGATGACACGAAATTCAAGAGAACCTGCATCGACATGATGAAGTTACTGAGAGAACGTGACAGCAAAATTGGTGAACTCTCTGATAAACTTGAGGCGGTCTCTGCGGTATTGATAAATAGTCAAATATTTCCAACAGAGAATGATGATCTCTCAGAAACAACTTTAGACTTATTCAATGATTTCCCAATTAAAGACGATGGTATGCTGGCAAATGTTGAATCTAAGCTGGCCAATGAAGAAACCTATAAAAAACTGGTTAGTATTACAGTTATTGTTAGTTCGAACGAATTTGAAGCATGTCAATTCTTGATACGAAGTATTTATAAAGTGAAATGAAGTTTTCTGATTTCTGGTGATATTGCAAACCAAAAGCTTGTAGGTCAATAGCGCGGTGCGGTCAATTGAACCGTTACCTGTTAGAAAATGAACCCGAAAAGGAAAGGTCGATTGAGCGCAGACAAGATCGAGCACAATCCATGTGAGGATCGGCTTTTTTCATTTTGTTCTGGAGTGATTATCCGAGAAGAAGTTTATGCGAAGAAGGAGCATTTAGGCCGAGTTAGGTTAGGTTGTTCAAAAGAAGTAGTATCTTTCGACCAATGGATCAGTGTTGAAAATTTTCTCCATAGGAAGAAGGTTCATCAATGCCGAGTAAGGTTAGATTGTTTAGAAACAGTAGTCTCCTTCCGAAAAATATTTTTTTTATAAGGAAGGTTCATTTGGACCAATTGATGTCAGATTGTTTTGAAAAAGTGTTCTTCTTCCTTAGATATGATATTTCCTCACGATTTACGAAACAATAGGTCGCATGAAACAATAGAGTGGAATATTCTCATTTACTTTTCAGTGTTGAATAACTACATCAATGTTCAACACCGAATGATCAGAAATAAGAGGAACACATTGATGATGGCTAAAACTGGGTCGAACCACATTCAAATCGGAATAAAAAAACATTCACAATCTGTGATCACTTACGCAGGAGCGTATTTGGAAAGACAGTAGATGATGGTTCTATGAATACGAAGGAAACAGTATAGATCTTGCAAAAATTCATTTTTTTCGAAGTGAAAAACTGAAACCATCAAATAATATATGATGCATATAGTAGAAATGTTCAAAAACCACTATACATTGAAATTTCCAATTGAAGGAATATTCCTATCTGTTTCTCCATGAGAGGAACAAAACCAATATCAACACTAATTTTCTAACAAATCATACAAGTTGGATATCTGAAAGCAACAAATAAATAGTAATAAAAAGTTCACAATGTGGAATAAGCACCTGATTAAATATTTACTAAAACAATTGAATTTCGAAATTATTCAGTAATTTATTCATTGAATTCTTCTTATAAATGTTCATTTTCCCTAACACACAATTTACACACTTTCTCAATGCGTCGTAAGAGGCAAAACAATCTTGAAGAACTTCGTGCAACAACGGAGGCAGTTTTCCAGGAATTACAAAGACATCCTTTAATGATTTTGAATGCATCAGACGCATTGATAAAGTGTGTGAGAGACAATGGACATCAATTTGAACAATTCAATGAATAAGTTACTGAATAATTTTGAAATCAAATTGTTTTAGTAAATATATAGTCAGGTGCTTATTCTAAATTATGAACTTTTTATTACTATTTATTTCTTGCTATCAGGTAACAAAATTTTGTGTTTTGTTAGTTAATTAGTGTTGGTATTATCTTTGTCCACTTCATGAAAAATCAAAGGAAATATTCCTCCAATTGAAACTTTTTTGTGACATGAGAAACCCATCCAATCCGTTTAAAATTCAATGTTTTAGTGATTTTGGAGCATTTTTGGAATTTTCATATTGATACATTATATATTGTCACGAGTGGTTCTAACGCCCACTATCGCAACTCGAACTTACTCGCTTGCAAGAGGTTTTTTTGTAAATAATTTAACTCCACTCCACAAGTCTATTTATTTTGAATAAAAACAATTAGGGCATGAAATAAATTAACCATTAATTATCCAGCAAGATACATCCAACTCAAATAAAAATAAAACAAGAAAACTAAAACTAGTTATACTCAAAAAAGGTACTTACAGAAGGGCTCGCTTTTTTTTGAAGGATTGGAACTGTCACTCACGAAGTTTAGACATGATGCAAAATAAGTTTGAGATTCACTTGTATTAAGATGGGGTTTACCCTCTGAAAAAGGTCAAACTTAATCTAAGGTGTAAAGGGGGAAGTAAAAATCCTGTCCGAAGGAGGCGGGGCCCGATAACGAAGAAAGTCGTCTAGTGTCTCACTCCAACTCATTCTAGCGTAAAATATTTCAACATTTATAGTAAAAGCGGCCTTGAGTGTTACCCCTTGCTTGAGGCATCTGCGGTCGGTCGTCTGAATTCTCCGAATAAGTTCCACAGGCACAGCTTACAAGTTGTGCTATAGGCAATATACATCTAAGAGGAGAACGAGGCAAAATCTTCTTCCTTACAGACTTTTTTTTTTCAGAGTAGAAAGATATAGGACCTTCACCACCTTGAATATATATGATTATTACATAATATTCCAGCTTGACTACTTTTTTCTATTGTACCGAAAAAAGTTATAGGCGACCAAACTCGAAAATTTAAGAAAAAAATAACTTTGCTCGTAAATATATAAACCTTTGTAACTTCGCAATTATAGCACTTATATACGTAGTCTTTTCATAATATGATTAAGCATATTCTGGAGATTCGATTCATATGTATTATGTTGGGAAATTGAATTATTTTTCGATCTAAAATGTATCATTTTGTACAGAATTCGCGAACAAATGTCCATTGTCATCTCTTCAGTTCATCATAACTTTTTAGTTCACGATATGAATTTCGATTTTTATGATATCTTTCGATATATTGAAATGTGAGCAACAAATTGTTTCTTATAAAGTTTTCGCACGTTTCAAAAATGAACTTTGTAGAAGCATTTATGTCTAATACGTAAGAGGCCATCCGAGCGCACGAGTGAGAACGATACAGCGGCGTTTACGTGTTCTAGACAAGAACAAACAGTAAAGATTCGGGGAGGATAACTGTCTCATTTGAGAATGGAGAAAGGAGCGTTCTTGGTTGAATATGTAGGTAAATAACTTCAGTTCATAAATATGGTCCCAAAATAATTCACTTCAAAGGCAACGAAGTGAAAATGGTAAAGAAAAAAATACCAAGAAGATATTGGGAGATGCTAGAATTTTCCAAACATGAGTTCCCAAAATAAATTGATCAACATTATACAGCTGGACAAACTATAGTATACCAATATGGTATATTTATAATAAAAAAAACTTTTTCAGAGTCTTTGAGAGGAATTTGTGATGAATTTTAGTTAGATTGAATGTTTTATATTAAAATTGACATTCTTTGCGAGCAAATATGTGAATTTTTCGATATAAATCTATTATATTCATCATATCTGTGGATGGAGCTCTTGATATAATTTCATCTTCGTTCCGCACTCATGCACCAGTATCTATTGCACTCTGTCTCACTTACTGTGCATGACCTATCTAAAGTTGCACGTTGTCATTCAAAGCGCTATAAAAAGTTTATTTTTGAAACGTGCGAAAAGTTTATTCGAAACAAATTGTTCGTTACACTTCAATCTATCTAGATGGGAGAAAAAAATTGAAATTCATATCGTGAAAAAGAAAGTTATAATCAATTGAAGAGGCGTTAATGCTAAATTACTCATGTAATGCGTGACAAAAAATTTATTTTCACATATAAAAACTCAATTTGTATACCATGGATCGAATCTTCATAATATCCTCAACAAAATGATGAGAAGTTGAGGCATCTAAGTTATGTAGTCTCCAAGTTACAAAGGTATATACATTTACATGCGAAGTAGATTTTTTTTGTAATTTTTGAGTATGTTCGTTTATAAATTTTTTCGGTATATCGAGGACTGGAACCTTTGGCACGATAATACACTACACTGTTTTACCACTAACCAAACCGATTTTTTAACGCCTCGACACGTGTTTCGCTAACTATATTAGCATCTTCGGGAGAAGATTAAAATTTTAATCTTCTCCTGAAGATGCTAACATAGATTAAAATTTTAATCTTCTCCTGAAGATGCTAATATAGTTAGCGAAACACGTGTCGAGGCGTTAAAAAATCGGTTTGGTTAGTGGTAAAACAGTGTAGTGTAACTTTTTTCGGTACCATAGACAAAAGTAGTCAATTGTTTCTAGATAGGATAGTGAGGGTCTGAAATCTTTCTACTACCAAAATTTTTTTGAAAACTTTCACCTTGTGTCCCGCTACACTAATAACTATGAGGAGGACATGTTTTCACGTAAAAATCACCTTGCTCGTTTCATCCCCTTTGCCTTCACTGACGCGAGCCGCCAGCCCCTCAAAAATGTAGGGGTGAGAAGTTTTCAAAAGAATATACCCGGTATACCCTATATGAGCATACATTAGTGGTATGTATAAACTCAACTGCAAAAATATAATTCGAAAGTACGAATCTCAATAATAGAAAGGCAGCAAAAACAGTTCAAGATAGGGAAAAACCGAAAGAGAATTTTTTACAGAAAAATACTGCTATTCGAATGGCTTGCACTCACCTATACATGATTTATTGATTGAAGACAAATGCAAATGGAATATCAAAATGCATTGTTACAGGGGAAGAAAAATAACTATTACATGAGTGGAATTTTTTGGTTTGTATAAACAGAATTTATATTGTGTAATAAACAACGCCATATACAGGGTGTCTCAGGTTTTACTCGTCTAACTTTGACAATTGATAGCAAAACTCAAAATATTAGATACGTATTTTTCTGTTTTGTCATGGATAAACATGTTTTAATTCGGCGTGTTAAGGTTCGCATACATTTTTGGTTTTTAATTTCTGTCTCAGTTGAAACAAAACCTAGCGATCTGAAATTCGGTGAGCACTTTTCTATCGGCAATATGAACAGTCCTTATCCATTGAAAAAACTGGGTGTTATCTTCACCCCCAATGGGAGTAACGATGTTATTCTTTTTCGAGCCCTCTGATATGGAATTCGTCAGATTTTTTTTTATTGGGACGCTATAGTGGTGGATCGAAGCTAATGAAAAATCATTATTATTTCTTCACCACACTTTGTGTTTTTCATTTGTTTCAATATCTTTCGTCTACGTGAACCATTCAATATTCAATTCGAATGATAATTTGATATAAGATAAACATTTAGGATATAAAATTGTTATGCATAGTAGTAACATTATTTCGAATAACAGGAAAACTAAGAAGGATAGGGACAGTTCATATATAACAGCGTTGATTGATATATTACGTATATCAATCAACGATAACAGATAGAAAAGTGCTTACCGACTGTCAAATCTCTAGGTTTGGTTTCAACAGAAATAAAAAATAAAAACCAAAAATTCATGCGACCTCGTATAAAGAAAACAAGTGTCTCCACGACAAAACAAAAAAATAGGTACGTGTATAATATTTCAATGTTTGCTTCCGATTGTCAAAGTTAGACGAGCTAAACCTGAGACACCCTGTATATATTACAGGAACAACTTCAATTTGTAATCTCCATATTCCTTTCGAATCTACTATCCACTATTTCGATTACATTTTATTTTGCCAACATTCATCATTGCGAGGTATATTTTGACAGACTGTCTTCTGCGGTATTTATTACCGCAGTTCGATAATTACTTCTCGGCATTATAGGTAACTTTTGCTCACACAAATAATGCACAAATATTGAAAAACGCAAATGTCACTGTCGGAATACTGAAGTCAACTGAACAAAAACAATATTCCAATCCCCCGTGTATAACACTAATTCCAGGATTTTCGGACCCTTTATGTCCGCCGCTTTTATGCTCACCGCCTTTATGTCCATCGCTTGCCGCTTGCCAAACCCAAACATGTTCAATCTTTTATCATCTAATTGGGTGAGTCACCTGGAGCGAAACTATTATTCTTCGATGAGAGATTTCTCTGTGTATATATTTCCAGAAGGAAATTTCTCAATGTTGACAAGAATATTAAAATATATGTAACTCGTATATTATATAATACCAGTTATTACCTAGAATAAATATGATGGAACTTCTGGCATTCCTTATATTCGCATTTTGAAATTGGAATTGGGGTCCTACCTACAAACCATACGTATTTTCATTATATGGGTTACCTAATAAACGTATACCTATACGTCGTATTCAAAAAATCAATCAACCCATCTAAAACTTCTTTTGGTTTCATCTCCAGTGCTAAAATTGTCTGAATAGCTTCAGTGCTACTTTTTATGAATGAATTCACTATTCATTCAACCATTCATAGTATCCATGTAGAAGTGCATATTCGTGTGAGGGCGCTCGTATCAGTGAAGAAAAATGATCCAAAATTGCGTCTGCAGAGGTCCAGCAAAAATCACTTTTGATGGTGATATTTTGAATGGATCCTTGCGAATTTTTTTGACAACGAAGATAAATGTATAAGTGAGGCATCTCTCGAAGTACTTTTCAAAAAAAATATATACCTAGTGAGAAAAAAAATAGTGAATCTGGTCAATTTTCTGGAATTTTTTTCGAGTATTTATTTTCAAAATTTTGAAAAAGTACTCCGAGAGATGCCTAGATCCAACCTTCTAGAAACGATCCGTGAAAAAAAATCTTGAATTTATTCAGCGAGCTTCGAGTATTTTGATTTCTGCCGTTCCTTGTTTCCCCAATGATCGCTCATAGGGTTAAACCCCTCTTAAAAGATTTGAAAAGGCTTTACGGTCCACTGTCCGAACCACAACTGCCGGTTTTTTTCTCTAATACTTCTTCATCTTGGTTTTGGTAGTGGTAATTGATTCAGCATAAAAACTCGTGTATTCACCTCGATTAGGAAAAATCCAGAACCAGCAGTTTCTTCCCGTCAGCGACTTTACTTGAATAATAATAGAATTGAAATCCGAACTCTAATTTCCTTTGAATATCGTAATTCTCTGCTGATATCCTGTATGCTAAATAATTCTAAGTATATGATCTAGACTAGGTTATTGTACTGTTCTTGAGTGAAATGAGAATTTCGAATATTCTCAATAAAATTAAAGTTTTTATCCATTCTTGACAATATTATTTTGAAGGGAAACAGATAAGGAATTCAATGAGCTGATAAAATACAGGGTGTTCCATAAGAAAAATCATAAGTTTGAGTCGTATCTCCAATACCATACCCCTGAAACAAAATTGAGTGCGCCACTGGATTCTGCCTAAAATTCTGTATGGGCTAAGATCTTAATTTGACATTCTCGCCAACAAACTTCCTAGATATAGATGGGGTCCAAAAAATATAAATTTTCAAAATCGCCGTATATCTCAAAAACAGAAACAGGTATGCAAAATCTGATTAGGCCATCTATAGTTTCACAAAAAAAGTGGCTCAGGACCGCGAAAACTGCAAGTTTCATCTCCAAAGATAACTGAGATATCCCGCAAATGCATCAAAAACTGGACACACTGTATACATCGCGGTAAATCCGCTCTACGGTGAGATAAATTTTCAAAGTGCAGTCAGATATGAACGATAACCGTTCGCCCCTCCTGATCTTTCTACCTGAAATTTTTTGGCGAAGTTTCGTGGTCAGCTGCTTGGCAGGAAATTAACCCAAAAAGTACCCGGATTATCTTGGCACAGTTTCGTAGCACCAAGTAATAATTCAAAACAATATTTATTTGTTTCAGGTCCATGATCTTTCCATGATAGGAGGAAGAGACTATAAAGAATGTAGCAAACGATTCCTTCGAAGAATTATAGATGACAAATTTGCGTGTGGATATAGTATGCTGGGACGCAAGAAAAAGAGAGTGTTCAGGTCGACCATGATTTGTGCTTGCCTTCTAGGTATTTCTGTGTGTCACATAAAATTAACTGGAATTATATATCGTCAATTTTTAGATGCAATTCAACATTGTTGTAAAGTGTCTCTGAAAGATATTGAAGTGGTTGTGTCCACTTATTTAGCCAAATCCACAGAGAGATTGAAGAGAAAAGAGTGAGTAACGAGTTGTTAGATATTTCAAATTATGGTTCATGAAAGTGATATCGGGTAGATTTCTTTTTGCAAATAGCAATATGGTTGTAGAGAAGATATTGCTATCATAGCAAGATTCGAAAAAGTGATATTTTAGTCATCGATTTTTGGCAATATGATCTGTCAATTTCAATGAGATCTGGTCAGCTTTCTTGCTATCTCGGCCACATCAATTTTGTGCTTGCTATCTTATAACAAGGTAGTGGATTATTTGTTTTTGCACTACAAATTCTTCCAAGTGTATGACAATTCAGAAAATAGTAGATTGAAAACATATGAGAGTTCAGTTGTATCACTGACTACTTGAAAACCTTTCCTCAAAGTTTCAATTCCTAGAAGAATTATTGAAAAACTTAGAATGGTGATTACAAACATATAGGATAGGTTCACTACTGTGACCAACTACTTGAAAACCTTTTCTTGAAGTTCCAATTTGTAGAGGAAATATGAGACTACAATTTCGGCATATCAGAGAAATTTCAGTTGCCTGATAGATAGTTCATCAAGCTATTTTGTTAAAATATTTAAAAAAATCACGATTATTTTCATTAGGCTTTTAGTTGTTTTCTCATTTCGGGGACATGATTGATTAATTGCACCAGTCGCACAACGACGACCAGATTCAGCAAATACGAAATCTCTCGATTTGAACAATATGAATTCGTAAAATGTCAATAAACTGACTATATTGAGAGGTTAGATAATCATGAACTCTTCTTCTTCAAGAAATAATAACAAAATCGATACCTAACACTTAAACAATGAGTTGAAAACAGTGTTGGCAGCTCAAAAATTCTCAATTATTCAACAATATTGCTATCGCTTGAACTTATAACCAGTCTTGCAGTTATTCTGCAAACAGAATACAGAACTTCATAGCAATATTGTTATATGTTATGATCATAACAATATTATTATCTTAGCAATTTTATAATAAGATCCGAACAGAATCGACCCGAATATATGTAGAATTTGAAAATCGATAGTTATTTTACTGTAGTCAGAACTACACAGAAGCCATTTTGACGATTAAATCAGAAACACCTCCATTTGCATATAGGAATGTTTGCAAAACAATGATTTCGAATTCCAATTTTCAATTATCCATATGTAATTCTACTTCCTTATAGAATGTTTTTTTAGGTTAATCAATTCCGAACCTTTGGAGGGCATCAAAGGAGTGAACATACAAGATTGGTGAACATCCAAGAAGTGGAGACCATCTGAGTAGTAGATGGTGTCTTGAGTTTTTTGTTTCTAGTTTTATGAAGAATATATGAATACGAACATTTTCAATTCTTTTTTTTCAATTGACTCGGCTTCACAAACGATAAGATTTCCACAAAATTCTCAAACACACTTCATCCCAGCAAACATCGAATCTCTGGCCGCCTTCTGGCCCAATGCAAGATCAGTCGGCAGAGTGCTGGCAACGGGTGAGCTGCAACGGGTGAACGTCGGCCCATTGTATGGTATATTGTAATCGTTTATCCTTAATCCAGCCAGCACTGGACCAGTAGTATCAAATCGTGATGCCATTCCACTACGTCGTCTAAACATATCGGCCCTTTGTATGGTATATTGAAATCATTCAACTATAGTCCAGCCGGCACCGGGCCAATAGAAGGAAATAAAGGCATCCGCGCTTTACCAGACTTCATCATATGATATAACCTACACATCATCCCTCGCCTGTGTAATTTCGATGAGAAAATATCTATACTTAATGATAAAAAAATGTAAAACGACATATTGGGAAACACTTAATCAGTTAGTACCTTTGAGTATTCAAACTGGTTACTACATAATATATGATACGATTATTGTAAATAACGAAATATTTTTTCTGCAAACTCTATGATTAATAATAGTTTTCTAATGTAGATAGTGGGTGAATTGAGTAAACCTGATTGTTGAATGTTGACAAACGTGTCCCCACTTTTAAAACTGTTCTCGTCTACTTTATCGGAGAATTAGACAATTTTGTCCTCTGTTATATGATTATTATAAGTATTCATTGATAGTACTCATAGTCATCCGTAGTCAATATCTAACAAGAAGTAAAAATGGCTCAGTTGGTAAGATCGCGGCTTCGTAATCCAAAGGTCGCAAGTTCGAACGCGGCGACCAGTCATTTCTTTTTTTAATTTTAGGTCCGACGGTATACAGACATTGGTCCGGCCGTCGGCCAGAGTGACCTATTGACGTCTGACCGACGTCGTTTGCCGCGTCGGCAACTTCTGGCGAGCAGGTTTTGGGCCGACGTAATAACGACCGAAAATGTTTGCTGGGATGTTTCGCTAACATAGGAGCATCGTCAGGTGATATACTGGTACTGGACTTTACCTGATCTGCCTATCTTTAGCTGCTGAAATACTAAAATTGTTTTAAAACTGTTCTTATGCATTGCCCCTTAACGAGCAACCCTCAGAAGTCTTCAAGAGACTTATGCAAGCAAGGATTGACGGAGGTCTTACCTTTTAACGTGTGATCCCAAACACTTTCTTTGGCCATCAGACAAATTTCTGCAGTCGTGGTGGATATGGAACCCACCTACCGGCAATCCAACGTGGACAGAATATCGACGTTTCAACCACGAGGCAACGCTAGCCGTCTTGAACGATTAGTGTAATTAATATTGCTGTCCTGATAATGAGAACATTGGAATTCACAAAAACAATATAGCTGCTATAACCTCAAATTTATGATGGCTTTGGCGTCGGTGCTCGTTTCATTGAATCAAAAATCGAGATCTCATCCCATTTCAAAATAAAACCGACGATTCCCGAAGTCGAATTCGACTTCGAGTTCATCACCGTATCGTACGACAATCGACGATCGTGAAACAGATTCCTTCTTCTGATTTAACTATTATTGCGTCAGTATAGTTTTTGGTATAAAACCATCGGATCTTTCTGTTTCTTGGACATCTATAATTTTGCCTAGTCAATTTAATAGTATATTATGTAGCAAGTGCTATAAACGTCCTTTTAGTAACGAGTATTTTAAGCACGAGCGGAGCAGAGCGGAGCGAGTGTTTAGTAAGCGAGTGTCTAGAAGAGTTTATAAACGCGTTACATACCATGCTTTTTTACGAACTCCGAAAATTACATTAACATACCTGATATTCGTGCTAACCTACAAAATTATTCGAAAGGAACGGGAATTGAGAACATAATACATTCAACTGCATGCAACCTGCGAGACACGTATAAGTTACATTGGTTGTAGATGTGTCCAGTCCATTGCTTACTAACCTTTGTTCCACGGTTATTGTCATGCTTAGCGCAAAATAAATAATTTGTTTTCAAAGATGGTTGCTTCATTTTTACACTTCTTGGAGATATGCAAGTAAAAGTATATTTCGCATATATTTCTAATGAAGAATTCTGATACAAACAAATATTGTTCGAATAATTCTGATACACAATTTGAAAATAACAGTTGACAATTAATTCAATTGACAGACCAGACATGTCTCAATTACTAAAGCTGTGTTTAATGAACTGTGTTGCCCTGGTAATGTGTTCAAGAAATCGTGATGCCATGGTAACGTGTTTAATATTTTGAATAAATCACAGTTCGTCGATCCGTGATTAATCGATCATTTAGCGTGGAACATATCCGTACGCTAAATGTCAATTTAGTTATGTGAGTAGAAAAAACAAATAATCGAGGAAAACACGCAGTACAGATCTTTGATGTTATACTACCCTTGTAGAACGATCATTTTATTCTTGAGTTCTTTGTCATTTAGGGAGTTGAAGATTCTGCTATACATTTTGAGTCAGGAGTTGCGCCCCTAACACACAAACCAGACGTGTTATTGAATTTTGTCAAAAAATTCTTTCTCAGCCTGTAATACCTTGCGGTACGGGCAATAATATAGTGACTATCAACCTAACCTAACCTGAAATTTAACCTTCCACTGTGACATGTGATTTTCCTCTTTCACCTTTATTATATGGGTTTGTTATCAAGTTAAGTAAAAGTAACACTCAGTATATTGTGATGATGTGAGATGCTCAATAGATCACGTGACTGCAACACTTTACATTTTGCTATGGCATGTGGATTGAATATCCTGGTGGAGTTGGACCTCTTGAAAGCTGAACTTGAAGATTCTTTTGTCTTCCCAGTGTAACTTGATATTAGTTTCAGGATTGTATTTTCCAGGTGTCCAAAGCAGTGGTGTTGATTTGTCCTTCATCATAGCTTTGTGGACATGATTCCATCAGCCAGACTCAATATTTGGATAATAGTTCAAGTTCACATTTTTACAAACCTGTTGGAGATTGATATATCCTTGCTGTTTTCAATTTGATTGAGGATCCACAGGAATTTATGTTTGAGGTAGTTGTAATTGTATTTCAGTTCCAGTCTGACAGTCAATTGGTTATGTGAAGCATAAGGTTATTTCGATTCGGCCGTAGCACTGTGGATTTATTTCCTTCTTTTTGTATTTTTGGCCAACTGCAACATTGTGGTTAGACCGATAGTACTTTGGTTCTGTGTCGGACCTAACTTTACAATCCTTTCAAGACTTGCAAAGGCCCAACCCAGACAGCACTGGATATTCCTAGAATATTCTCTAAATATGCTAAAAGGGAAGAATATATTCAGAATATCCTTCGAATATTCTTAGAATATATACGTTCCTCTGGAACATTCAAAGAATATTCAAATGTGAATATTCTAGTAATATTCCAAAATGAATATACAGGGAATATTCCAGAAGGAATATTCTGAAGTGAATATTCCTAGAATATTCCAGTTGGATAGTGCAGGGAATATTCAGGTATGAATATTCCAGGAATATTCCCAATTGAATATTCTGTTCCTGTATATTCATGGAATATTTCAATAATATTCCCATGTGTTTCAATGAAATTGTGAAGTATGAAAATTAACTAATCACAATTTTATAGATGTGAGTATTAAACATTGATTTTGAAATCTGTGGTAGAAGTCCATCGTATTTCAAAGTGAAGTGGTTATGTTACCAGGGATCAAAAACTAAAAGTCGTCTTCACAATTTTGATAGTGATCAAAGTACTCAATCAGATCATCGTACATGTTAAGAGCCCATATGGAACTGGAAGTGTTTATGGTTCCCTTCTGAACAACGCAGTTCAATAAATTGTTATGTACATTATTATTCAACTCGATTACTGGCCAAGTGGTTAAGGCGTTGATCTGACAGTCTGAAAGTCCCGAGTTCGAGCCTATCTTGGGTCAGCTTTTTTCAATTATGAATATGTATTACGGAATATTCCTGGAATATTCATTTTTTCATATTCCTGTATTATTCCAGGAATATTCCGAATATTATCTGAATATTCCTAGAATATAATAGATACATTCTGAATATATAGGGAATATTCCTTGTGTAATATTCCGGGAATATACGAAATTTTCCCCACCAGCACATTCAGGGAATATTCCATAGTTGATATGTATATCCCTGGCATGTTCATGAATATTCGCAATATCCAGAAAGAATATTCTATGAATATTCATGGAATATCTGGTGCTGTCTGGGAATGACCTGAGATAATCCTTAGAGAATCTAGGTATTTTAATAATTTTTGTTGGTAACATTTATTACCTGGACAAGATTCCAACTGTACTCGCGCAGTAAATTATTTTCAATTTGAAGCTGCTTTTTATAGACGGTTTTGTTTTCTGAGTGCGCAGGAAGCTCTTGGAAATCCTTGATTTCCTTTTTCTCTACCGAAAGTAGGCAAGATGGGCACCTCTTTTGCAATTTTTCTGCTAACCTTTGTGGAGTTTTATACCCATATTTTTGATCATTCCAGACGGAAGGTGAGCATTTTTAGGGTCCACAAACCTAGTCAAGGTATTCGAATTGTAATAATTTCCACAGATTTATTGGTCTGTCCAGAGCGGATGTCCCGTTGGGACGCCATCCTAGTTTAAGAAATGGAACCTCATTTTTTGAAGCTCCTCTTGATCCCATCGTGAGCCATCCATGAAGCCAAGGGGTGACTAGAAAGTCTCGACATCAAGCGTGTGCTGTTGAAGTCACTGCTCATTTTGGGGCTATTCTCTTGATCCCACCCTATTGTAAATGATCCGAAGGATGAGTAGGAAGCTCCAGATCCTTTTTTTTTCAACTGTACCAACCAGGATTTGGAAGTTGGAGTTCACTGGCAGTAAAGGACAGATCAGCACTACATACTTTGCAGACACATAAGTTCAGATCCATTTTGATTACCCTTCTGTTTCTGATGATGCAGTAATGCACAACACCAAGTTACTACTACAGCACAAGTAACTTCATATTCTAAATTTATATTTGAAATACCACTCAGCTAAAAACATGAGGAGTCATTTCTATGAACCGTAAATATAAGCCTATATTGAAGGGGAGTACTTTGAGGTATCTACATTTTTTTGTTCTGCTAAGGCACTTAACTCATATGACACCGATGAGATGATTCAGCATTTTTCTGCTCAATAAGGTGTTACTGAAAGTATAATTGAAAATTGCCTGTCACATAAACCTTCTTTGAACAAACTTAAGAATATACCTGGTACAGTTATTTGGTGTTTTATTAGTTTCAAGTTATATCTTCAGAATTAAATTTTCTTAGTTTTCCTACTATTGAAAACTGAGTGGCGCCTGGCAAATAAGGTTCCTAAGAATATTTTCCTTCTTGAATCCACAGCCTGCTCCCAAACAACAGAGCTACCGTGCCTATAACCCAACCACACACTAGTCTCGCATTTGTACAACCTTCCTTTCCATTTGCATTCTCCAATTTAAATAACAACATTCATAAAGTAGCAAGAAAGGGTTATACCACCAATAACAAAATCTGCTCATCTGAATTATTAACTCCTGTTTATTAGATTTCAGACACCAACAGTTTGCTAGAGACAAGAACGGCAGATACATGTGTCCCAGTTGTATTTCCACCTACAAGCAAAAGGGCCACTTGGTTCGGCATATCAGATACGAGTGTGGTATCGACCCAAAGTTCACGTGTCACATTTGCTTCAGGAAGTTCAAACACAAGTGCAATCTCAATTATCATCACATCATACTACACAAAGAACAACTTCTGCCAAATGACATTGGGAAGAAAATAAAATCTGATGATGTGATCGAATTGGATAGTAGCTTCAAATAATAGAATTACTATACCGTGAGAATAGTGAAGTGACTCAAACCTTGAGTAGTTGATGTGGCCGTCTGAAAAAAAGCCACTTGTGGGATTACAATTATGAATTACTGATTTGATCCCAAGTTTTATCGAAAATAATTTTCCTCTAGTTTGGTGCTTATAATTCAAGCTGTGTCTTATTATTCGAACCCTAGAACAATAATTTGTGATATTTACAAGAAAATATTGTGCATATTCATTTATGTGCACTTATAATTTATACTCTCATGGTCGCAACTAACGAAGTACTCCCAGACAGTATTCATTGTTGTTGTTTTTGCTCCAGCTACATTTTTTGTCCAATAGAGTGATGGAGAATATGTATTTTTCAAAATGACTCCTTTCATATGGGAAAGGGTGGTTGAGTGGTACTACATCTCAAACGTTTCTCGATTTTATATGCGAAACTTGAATAACAGACAAAAATAGTCATCCAAGACGAAATGAAAAATAATAATGTTAGAAATCTCTATACAGGGTATGTCACGAATAGCTTACACTATTTTTATATCGAGAATCATTCGGGGAAAATCCATGAAAATGTAGAAAGTAGTAGCAACATTGTTATTTGAAATAGAACACCCTGTATTCTGTCGTATTTTCAGATCCTCCCTAAAGAGCTGATCTCGATATATCACACTTGGGATCTATCCAGAAAGATTTCAGAGATCGAGATTTTTCAACTTTCGGATTTTTTTGTGTCGAAACTATTCATTATCGCTCAAAACGGCTCACATGTCCCCATCTCAACTTTCGATTCACTATTTACAGATATTCAATCTGAACAGATACAGGGTGTTTGGAGATATAGAATTCTGATCACCCTGTACCTGTTCCGATTAAATATCAGTGAATAGTGAATCGGAAGTCGAGATAAGGACATGGAGCCGTTTTGGCCGATAATGAATAGTTTCGACACAAACAAATTCTAAGGTTGAAAAATCTCGATTTTGAACACCCTATATCTCTGTGATTATTTCCGAAAGACCCCAAGTGTTATGTATCGATGAAATCAGCTCTTCAGGGAAAATCTACAGGGTATTCTATTTGAAATAACAAAGTTGTTGCTAAGAAGAAGAAGAAGTGTCATTCGAATTTCTTCAAGGTGGCTTCCCTTCAAAATATTTGTGAATATATTGAGATTCACGAGATCCCTACTTGAAGAGAGTTGGTGAATACATGAGGGCATGTTTTCAACCATCTAGTGAAGAGGATCATGAGATTCTAAACATTACCATATGCAATTCGTTTTCGATGACTATTTTCATCTGAAATTCTGATGTATAGAAGATCAAGAAACGTTTCAAATGAGGATTAGTTCGACAACGAATTCTATTCGAAAAATCCAAATGGCTTTCAAGCCTCATTTTGAAATATTTTATATTTTTTACCGGAATCAAAATGTAGCCATGTCCAATTACTGTTGAAGCAAAACAGAAGTGAGGAGTAAAATCCCAGCCGCTCCATTGTAGGTGAATATGTTATACTCTTCTAGAATAATTGCCAAGTAAGATAAATAAGACACTACTCATTGGACATCGACGACATCGTAGTTGTTTTTTCGTTATTTGAAAAAAAAAATCCTCTGTTCTACTCGCATATGTCATAAACATGTAGGATTGAATGATATTTTGTTCTCTTTCCACTGATAGATAACATTTGATAACCGTGAGTGAACCGTTTGTTATGATGACTTGTTTATCTCCAAAATGTGCCTTCATTATTCGAAATTATGTTATTTTATACGATAAGTACGTAATAATAAATGATTATTCTTTGGGTATGAATTTCATTGCTTTTGCGAATCACTCCTATTCGTACATGGAAATCGATAACTATTTTTCTCAATATTCTGAGTCAAGACATCAGTATCTATGAGACCGATACTTGAATACTCAATGGTACTACGACACTAATGTTCCCAAATTTGAACAAACATAGAAGGTGTTATGAGATTTATTGATTCTATCTATTCTTTCTTTGACCATCAAAAATCATGAAGTGGGAGATAAAAACAAATTATCTAATTAGTTCATGTGTCAAAACGATCTTGGTTGGCCACCTGCTAATTATTTAGATTATACTGAAAAAGCAGTTACAATAAACCTCAATATACATACATTAATTATTCAATTAACAATTGAATATTTTGATTTCGGTACCAGATTTGTTCATCTCGACTGAACCTCAGTGCCACTTTCTGAAGATTTCATGATCTTCGTCCCTGATAATGTTGAAAGAAGTACTTACCAGGTGTGAGCTCTTTGAATATATGATAACAATTATAAACTACTATACTATAGAATAGACCATAACCTAACTCTATGGACTGCGTCCCAGGGCCGACCTGAGTATCGGTCTGGGGGAGCATGCCTCTGTATTCCAAGCAGAAATACAGGCCATCCTGGTCTGTGCACAAGAAATTCAGAGAAGGGACTACAATAACAGGCTCATCTCGATATGTTCGGACAGCCAAGCGGCTCTGAAAGCTCTGGGATCTCCGAGATTAATCTCAAGATTAACACTCGATTGCAAGTTGGCTCTTAACTCAATAGCGAGAACCAACAAAGTCCACCTACTGTGGGTGCCGGGACATGAAGGCATTGAAGGAAACGAAGGCGCTGACGCCTTAGCAAGGCGGGGCGCCTCAACTCCTCCCATCGGGCCCGAACCCATAGTAGGTGTCCCCCAATGTGTCGGCCGAAAAGCTCTGGATGACCTGCTATGGCGGCAATTCCAGACATCCTGGGCAGAAGCAGGGGGAATGAGGCAAGCACGGCTCCATATTGCGGGGCCATGCAAACTTCAATCACACAGCCTCTTACAACTGAACAGGAGGAAATGCTCTATGATGGTTGGAATTCTAACTGGCCACTGTAGACTCATGAGACACATGGCCCTCATGGGGGTGGTAGAGGACCCAATGTGTCGACTATGCGAAGAAGACGACGAAACTTCATCCCACATCCTTTGCGCATGTCCCGCAGTGGCTCGTCGAAGAAGAAAATGCTTAGGCTCAGCATACCTGGAGCCCGAACAGATAAGAAACATTCCCATCAATAGAGTGCTGACCTTCTGCGAGGGAATAGATCTCTTCAGGGAATGAACAAAAACACATGAGGTGAGGCTTCCTTGTCTCTCCTTGGGGCTCGTACCGTGAAGCCAAGGGACCCCAGAGCTGGGAAATGCGGGCTCGGGTGCCGGACTAGTGAGCGCTCCAACGTTGAGACATGTGCGGGCTCAGTCGATGAGCCGCGTGGGCTCAAATGGGCCTGTGCGGCTCAAAGGGGCCCAATTGGGCTCCGGCGGGGGGATCGTGCGGGCTCGGATGCGGGCCAGCGCGTTCTCCGGCGCTGGACCTATGGGCTCTGGAGCAGGGCCTGCATGAGAGCTCACGATAGGAGCGGGTAGCAGTCGGGCTCTGGACCAGCGAAGGCTCTGGCGGGCTCATCCAGGCTCGCCGGGAGAGCAGATGGGGAGAGCACAAGGAGGACTCATACGAATGGTAGGTGAACGTCTACTCAGCTGAGGCCGGTTCGGAAGAAATGAGGGACGAAACAACAGAGGTACCACAATGGACCCACCCTAGAGGTCTAAGTGAATTGAGGGCCCCCAGCGGGCTCACCCTCTGTCTTCCAAAATCCAAAATCCAAAAAATAACCTAACTCATGACAAACAAAAACATCTTAGCGCTTTTCGCCCTGTACCAGTATGAAGTGAAATACTGATTTGATGGGTATAACAAGAGTTCTTCTTCTCAATCTTTCCCTAGTTCATTGGATTTTTCTCTCTTTCGGAAACAATTTCTCTAGATCGGGTAATTAATTTCATCTGGACTTATACTTGATCATGTAATTAAATTATCACTCGACTGGATCACTAGGACAACGCTTGTCCAAAACCATGACCGGGAGCTGATTCCATCAGTGTTCATAAGATACGATCGTATGTACTCCTCTTATCCGATAAATCCGTTGTCATCCGGTCTGGGTACCGGCATAGAGATGATGATGAATTTCACAGACATTAATCAAGCTTCACATTCATGAATATTGGAGTTCTCTCCAGATCAGGTAATATAAAAAAGTTTTAACTTATAGTCACATTTACTTGACTTCCGAACCATCTGATCGCCGTCTGATCTCTTCCACGGCCGGAAGGCGAATATATCAACACAAGTTAACTCGACATCAATATATCAATATATATCTATATACAGTGTGTTACAATTTGGTTCACCCGACTCCTGTACTTTCGTATTCTTGGGGCGATTAGAGATATATTTTCTCATAATATACTACACAAAATTATCTACTTTTTTGAGCAAGAAGAAGATGATTCACGATGTCTCAGCTCACTACGATCACAAAAACTTCAGCAGAACTAAAGAAAACGGAATATTTTTATTTTTTAATTTTGATAATGGCAATCGTTTCGGACTAGTTACAATTTTCAAAGCAATATATCATAAGGGGTGTATTGCATCAACGTTACAATTTTTAAAGAATTACATTTCTCAAATCACCGTGTATAATGATTGTTTTAAGAATTTAAATTATACCAGGCATGATCATAGTCAGGATTGGATCATCAGACAGGAGTAAGATAAATACCGAATGGAATCCCTAGTTCGAGTGTTCCATCAATAAATAAAAAGAAGATGAAAAAACTAATCGATACCAGTCGAAAAATAATATCAGAAATACTGTCTGTAGGTTAATCGAGGAGGTGGTACATTCATTTTACTTGGTTCTTTGGGATTTTCTCTCCTCGTTTCTATAAAATAAAAGTATTCGTATTATTTCAATATATTTGTAGAGGGACAAATCAGATGATTTGCCCCAAAATGTCACTGCGTTTAACAAATTTTTCTATCAGGAAGTCTAAAAGAAAAATCCAGTAGCTTGTCAGTGACAATTTGTTTGAAAAAAAAATTTTTGAAGGAAAGAAATATAGATATATTGAAA